GAGGATAGTGAACACTGTTAGATAGGCAGAGACAAGTATTGATTTGGGTGAAGAGAAGGGCAATGTGAGTGATCAACATAGTGGCATTGAGGAAGAGGAAGACAAAGACAGGTACATGAGAAATGCAGGCAACAAAGATGAACCCTTCTGCACATACAGCACTGCATTGTCAGTGAAGGCAAACATGGGTATACAGGTGGTAGACGGGTGGACAGGCTGAACTATTAGGTCCTTGGAAGGAAGATGGGGCAATCTACTTCTGTAGTGATACTGCCTCGGAAACTCAAGGAGGGGTCGCTATGAGTTGGGTCCGACTCACAGCACATAACAACAATAACAATGCAGCGAGGAGTGTACCCAAAACCATGTATAGGGTTGGTAGACAATGGTTCTACAAGTGTATTTGTATGTGCTGTAGGAATTCCCAGGTGTATAGTAGAGCTGACATGAGACAAAGGTGTAGTCACTTCTTGGCCACAGCCAGCTACCCACAGGGAGCGCATAGTTGAACCTATGGGTTCAGCACCACAGTCACAGGGGACATCAAGCTCAAGTGGCATAACATACTACACAAAACATTGTTCCACCTCCTACTTTGGCAAGTAGCAACTGGGATCTTAAAAGCTTGCAAGCTGCCATCTACATACAATGATGGGTCTCTCTCCTTATCCAGAGCTAAGAAGAATGAAGAAAACCAAAGATTCATGGAAACAATTAGTCCTAGCACCTGGTACACCATCCAATCTGCAGCCTATACAACTATGAGACCAGAAGAACTAGATGGTGCCACTGTCAACCACTCAGAGGGGGATCTATGTAGGAGATCCTGGATAGAAAGGGAGAACAATGTGTGGACAAAACTCAAAATCATGGGGGTGGGGGAGAAGGGGGGAGACCAGGTTTGCTGGTCTAATAGAGCCTGGTGGAACCACTGAGACTATGGCCCCTAGCTGCCCTTCAGATCTGGAATTGAACTCACACCTGTGGCTTCCAGTCAAACAAAAGACAGGCATATGAGTTGAACATTTACCTGAGGTAGATTCACTCCTTAGATCAATCATGGGAGGAAGAAGGGTTGTTTATGCACAGGGAGAGAGCTCAGGGGGAAGGAGTGCATGGAGGGATGGACACAGGGAAGAGGTAACTATCGAGAGAAAGTGGAAGGGAAGCTGTTGCATTGGGTAAATTGTAGTCAATGTCATGAGACAAAGTGTATGTGAAGTGCTGTATGGAAAGTGAATTTGCTCTGTAAACTTTCACCCTAATCACAGTAATAAATAAATAAATAACCACTCATTGGCATTTCTGTTATAGCAGCATTAGTAAACTGAGATATACTGCTTTCTCCTATCATTAATACCTTGCACTAGTGTGGCACATATTCTTGTTATTTGTTCCCTCCACTCCCCTCAATAGCTTACTTCTACTCTTGCCCCCAGTCTGTGTTCCCCAATCTCTTCACATTCAGCAGAGAACAATTTCTGTTGTTACAGTAAGGAAACCAAAATGATGGGGGATGAGGAAGTAGTCTCCCTAACATCCTCTCCCTGTCCCTCTACTTCCTCTTTCCCACTGAAAGAGTCATCTACATTTACATCCATCATTATCTCCTTCCCTCTAGCCTCTGAGAACTAGTCTCCTCACTGTGTGGCCAACTTTGTGGTCAGTCCATTCGCCAACACAGCCAGTTCCTTCTGGTTTAAACTGTCTGTCTACAACTCCCTACAAGACACAATGTAATTCTGCAGTCTTCTATCCAGAGGCGGCCGCACATTGGACAAAGGTGGGTATGTGACCCAAGGGAGCCAATCCCTGAGTGACTAGCAATCTTTAACCTGCAGAATCTTGCCCAGAGATGGAATTGTCCCAAACCATCTCAACTAAAATTTTGAACTTAGACATTTGGACACACATGTACATACTGACAATTGTGTTGGTTGCTAGAACAAAAATACTAGATACAAAATGAGTTGGGAGCTCTGGTAGTGTACTGCCTAAGGCACTCGACTGCTAACCATAAGTCTGGTGGTTCAAACCCACCAGTCACTCCTCGGAAGGAAGGTTGGGCAATCTACTTCCGTAGTGATACCACCTCGGAAACCCAAGGAGGGGTCGCCATGAGTCGGGTCCTACTCGATGGCACATAACAAACAACATAAAATGACTTACTCATGCATTCTTTGAAAACATATTTGCTAAGTCCCTGATCTGAGTCAGGCACTATGTTGATGCTGTTAGGTGCTGCTGAGTCGATTCCAACTCGGAGCAACTCCATGAGACAGAGTTGCCCCATAGGGTTTTCTAGGCTCTACCTTTACAAAATTAGATTGCCAAGCCTTTCTGCTATGGAGTGGCTGGTGGGTTCAAACCTCCAATCTTTCAGTTAGTAGCTTAGTGCTTAACCATTGCACCACCTGGGCTCCTTGGCATAATGCTAGGTATGTGAATTCAGCGTAACAAGACAAGGTCCGAGTCTGTAGACCTTACAATCCGTGCTTAAACAAAATTATCCCATTAATTTTATAAAAACTGTAAGAAGCCACATTAGTGCTGGAATCCTGAGGAATTTCACAGGAACCCTAACCTAGTGGAAAGTGGAAGGGTCAGGGAGGGAGAATTAAGCAGGGGTCTACAGATCTAGGCAGAGGAAACATAAGAAGGCCCCAAAAGAGGAAGAAAAGGGGAAGGAATGCAGCAGATATAAGAAACAAACAAACAAACAAAAAGACTAGTATAGCTAGAATGAAGGTTCTTAGATAGAACAAATGGATTGCTCTTGGCTGCTAACCAAAAGGTTGGTGGCGTGAAATCACTGAGTGGCAATGCAGAAAAAAGGCCTGGCAATTTGCTTTCATAAAATTACAGCCAAATGTGGAATACAGTTTTACTCTACATCTAAAGCACATGACCACCATGAGTTGCAATCAACCTGATGGCAACAAGTTGTTCATAGCCAGAATATATTAAACAAGGAGGTATATAACCCAGGTACATACCTTTTCATAGCAAATTCCTTTAACTTAATTATGGAAAGGGAATTGTAAAAAAGAATTTTTAAATTCCCAGCGGGTATTACTAAAGGTAAAAAATGATACTGTTTTGGTATGCTTAAACTAAATTTTTTTCACAGTTTTTTTTTTTATTGTTGTTATGTGCCATAGAGTCGGCCCCGACTCATAGCAACCCTTCCTTGAGTTTCTGAGGCAGTATCACTACAGAAGTAAGATTGCCCAACCTTCCTTCTGAGGAGTGGCTGGTGGGTTTGAACATCCAGCCTTCTGGTTAGCAATCAAGTGCCTTAGGCACTATGCTATCAGAGCTCCTCTTTCACAGTTTTAATAGACAGCAAAAACTACAAAAAAAAAAAACTAAATAAATAAATAAAGAGCAAAGTAATATTACTTTAGAATAGAAATCATCACCTTCTTACACTAGCAAAAGTTCCCTCATTTTTCTGTACTTAAAAATCATAGCCCAACCATCTTTGTCCTGTCTGCATTTAAATAAACTCACAGCTGTCTTGTAAAGTATATGAGAATAAGGCACTCTTTGGGGACGTATTTATTTTTCTTTGAGTTTACTATGCTCCAACACCATTTCTGACATCTAGGTATTCTGACTTTCAGGAAAGGCCTAAAGTATCTTCACCTAAAATTTAAGTCCAATATAGTAACAACTAACTCCTTATTTAAGATGATCTAGATAAAGAAAAATGTTAATTAGTTTTTTTTAAAAAGTAAAACTTTACAATACCTGGTAAAAGAGTTCCTCTTATTTCAAAGGTAACCTGAGAAGGTGTCATTCTGACGGCTTTGTTTTTGGATGGCGTGCTAGGAAGAAAAAAGAAACTGTCATTTATATATAAAAACATTAGCTCTAAATAGTTACTATCAAGAAACAAAAACAAAATGACTATTAACTTGTGAGAAAAAGATGAATTTCAGAGTCCTTATATATGAACTATAGAAAAAACAGATTAGACAAAAGAGGCTCCGTGGAAGGAAGACTGGGCAATCTGCTTCCATAAAGATTTACAGTCTTAGAAACGCAACGGGGTCGCTACGAGTCAGAATCAACTCGAGGCAGTGAGTTTAGTTTGGGTTTTGGTATGTATCAACTAAGGAGCCCTGGCGGCACAGTGGTTAAAGCACTTGGCTGCCAATCAAAGCCAGCCACTCCATGGGAGAAAGATGTGGTAGTCTGCTTCTATAAAGAGACACAGCCTTAGAAACCCTATGGGGCAGTTCTACTCTGTCCTGTAGGGTTGCTATGAACTGAAAACAACTCAATGGCAATGGGTTTGGGGTTTTTTATGTATATAAAAACTGCATTACTTGGGAAGTGCTGAGCGAGTTTTAGGACTTAATATTACAAACCTATTTCTGTAAAAATGTCTGAAGTAGAAATACTATGAAACAGAAATTGTCCAACTTTTTACTTTTAAGTAGTCAAGATTCTCTAATCACATACTTTCTCTTCTGATAACCCAGCTGTTCCCACGTCAACATTCCTGACCAGGGTCATGTTATAGTGAAAGAAAGAAAAAAAAAAAAAACAACTATAATTAGGGGGGAAAAAAAGCTTGCTTTTAGAATTTCTACTTTAATAACAGTATTTCAGTGGAAACAACTAAAGAACTTAAATACTGCCCACTGAAACAGTTATGCTCTGTAACAAGTTTGAGAGTGTATTTCTAAGACACAATATAACTACTAATAACTAAACTTCCTCCTTTCCACACAAAACACTCTTCTCTGATTTTCTCTGTGTTAGCGATACGGTCACCATTACTCCAGTTCTACAGGCTCAAATAGAGTCTTCAAAATCTATTACCAAACCCTGTTGATTTTAACTGACTTCACATCCATCTTTCTTTCTAAAGTTATAAACTGCATTCAAACCATTAGTCTCCTTTCTATATATTGGCTTCTAAATCTCTTCCCAATAAAATATTTTTAAGTTAATTAGAATATTCTTCCTCATGTCTCTGGTTTGGAATCATTTTGATTACTTATAGAAATCTAAACCCAAGTCTTTGAGATCCTTTGCCACTTATCCCCATTTTCTAACTAAATTTTTAATTCTTTTCTTTCCCAGCCAAGGAGATGTATTTGCCAACACCCAATTTAAGTATTTAAGTACCTAGAAGAAAGGAAATGCATAAACCACATACAATACCAATTCTCGTGGAGATTATATAATTTAAATAAAAAACACATACTTCAAAAAGAGTACATTATATTCTACATAATTTCTCCAAACCAAAATCAAACTAGTTGCTATTGAGTCAACTCATGGGGGCTCCCTGTGTTGCAGAACACAACCATTCCATGGAGTTTTTAGGATGTGACCTTTCAGAAGGAGATTACCAGGCCTGTCTTCTGAAGGGCCTCTGAGTGAATTCGAATTACCAACCTTTGGGTTAGTAGTCAAGTGCTTGTTTGTGTCACCCAGGGACTCCAACTTCCCACCCCCTAAGCCATCTGTGTTCCTAAAAGAATTCCAATCATATCTTGCCTCTGCATCATTTCCATGAAAACTGCCCAGTTTAAATTTTATTTGCATTTATACATTCCAAAAAAAAAGAAAAAGAAAAACCTTAACTGCTGCCATTGAGTTGGATATGACTCATAGTGACCCCTCCTTGGGTTTCCAAGGTGGTATCTCAACAGCCTTCCTTCCAAGGAGTGGCTGGTGGGTTTGAACTGCCAGCCTTCTGGTTAGCAGTCAATTTACACAATACTTTACAAAAAAAATCCTAAAGTAACTTTCATAGCTATTCATCCTTCTATTTCCCCTTTGCTCCTCCCCCCCCCCAACACAAGCATAACTCTTCAATATTCATTTAATGAATACTGCTATCTACAGTTAACCACAAGTTTTAGTCAAGGTAAGTAAAGATCAATAGTAGTGGTTTTCAATTGGAGGCAATTCCCAATCTCTCCTCACTCGGGATAAATGGTATGTCTAGAGACCTTTTTGTTTGTCGTGATGATACTACTTGCTTCTAGGGGGTAAACGTCAAGAATGCTGCTAAACATCCTACAATGTACAGAATGTTGTTGTTGTTGTTATGTGCCGTCGAGTCGTACCCGACTCATAACGACCCCTCCTTGGGTTTCCGAGGCAGTATCACTACGGAAGTAGGATTGCCCAACCTTCCTTCCGAGGAGTGGCTGGTGGGTTTGAACCGCCAGCCTTCTGGTTAGCAGTCAAGTGCCTTAGCCACTATGCTACCAGAGCTCCAAATGATAAACTGGCTCCCATAGTCAACAGTGGTAAGGCTCTAGGTTAGTAACCCGTGGGGGGAGTGAGGGGGTGTTATGAAGATCAAGAGAAATATAACTTGGCACAGTACCAACCAGAGTCCACGCTTAATGTTAGCTATATAAACTATGAATCATGTTTACATCAATGATGAAATGCAAATGTCAAATATACATTAAATAAGACCACCAGTTGACATGGTTTCACGTTATTTGTGCCATTTCGGTTAGAAAACCTAAGACTATATGCCGGAGAAGAAAATGTCTTTCATAAAAATAATTTCCAAAATACCTTAATCTACTTTCTGTGTCTAAGAGTAAATGTGATCTATTTAAAACAGATACATTCTGATAAACAGTTAGCAGAGATCTAAATACAACAACGTCACGATGCCTCGGAAGCAACAGACCATCACAGTCACACAAAGAAGCAGGATAAAGTGGTAGAAACAAGGGAGCAGGATACAGACCCAGAATACATCCCTGAGGAAGAAGCAGCATTGGAACTCTCTGATAAGGAATTCAAAAGAATTGTCTTTAGGTATCTTCAGAGGATTGAGAGAACAAAGAAAACACAGAAAAAACCTTACAAGAATTTTGGAAGAAAATACAAGAACAAAATGAAAAATTAGAAATCCAAAAGATTGATACTAAATTGTCAGAAATAGATAACACATTGGAAGGGCAAAGGAGAAGAATTGATGCGATGGAAGACAGAATTAATGAGATGGAAGAAAAATACCTGAATACTTCTTTGCAAAAGGATCAATCAGAAAAACAATCAAAACAAAATGAAGAAAGCCTAACGTTCATGTGGGATACCATCAAAAGGAATAACTTACGTGTCATTGGAATTCCAGAACAGGAAGAGAAAAACAAAACCACTGAGAAAATTGTCCAAGATTTGCTGGAGGAGAACTTCCCTGAAATGATGAAAGATGAGAATGTATCCATCCAGGAAGTCCAACGAACTCCAAACAGGATAGACCCCAAAAGAAAATCACCAAGACACATCATCATCAAACTGACCAAAACCAAAGACAAAGACAGAATCCTGAAAGCTGCATGGGAAAAACAAAAAGTTACCTACAAAGGACAGCCAGTAAGAATAAACTCTGATTTCTCAGCAGAAACCATGCAAGCGAGAAGGCAATGGGATGGTATATATAAAACCTTGAAAGATAAAAATTTTCAACCAAGAATTATATACCCGGCAAAATTGTCCCTCAAATATGATGGTGAAATTAGGAGATTTCCAGATAAGCAGAAACTAAGGGAATTTGTTGAAACCAGACCAACCTTACAAGACATTCTAAAGGGAGTCCTTTGATCAGAGAAAATAGCAAATAACAACCGACCATTAATACACAAGATAACATAACCCAGAAACCACAGCAATGGACATATCCAAAGTAAAATGAGCTTACAAGATTGTAAACAGGGAACCAGAGATAGCAATTGGCAAGTGAAGACAACTACAAACAAAAAGAGGGAAAAGACTGCAGTCAACAGAAAGTTGAAAGATAGAATGGACTGTTCTAAACTCGGGGATAAAATTATAAATCATAGGGTAACCTCAAAGAAAAATTATAAACCTTCACATCACAATAAAAAAGAGGACAAAAAAAAAAAAAAACCAAAGATACATTCTGTACAGACAACAGTGCAAAAAAATAAAATAAAATAAAAATCAAACAACTCCAAATTGTAACACCCTTTACTAAACTGTAGTTATCTGAGTATCTTACTAGTTCTCTTTTAACATGGCATCTGAGAATGAATTTGAGTATAACCCTACCAGTACAAATTTTTCCTTTTCTAATAGATAAAATGGTTCACCAAAGCACTGCAATCTTGCATTTAATTCAAAATATCTACAGCACACCAATAAAAAAACTTAAGGCTACCAAAAGAAAACCTTGACTTTGAAGTCACTGGATTATGTAATTTTAAGAGACAGCAAAAAGCACCATTATCCAGCAAAACTGCTGAATAATCAACCTCAATCTAACTTGCACTTTTGCCCAGTGTTTACTACTATAGTTCTCAAGTATCTCATCTATAAAATTGCATAGTTAGTACTCAACTATTTGTTGATTGATTTAAAATAACTATTTTAACCAATCTGCACAGAAATCACATGTAATTAATTCCTATATACTAAAATCAGCAGCTGGTACAAAATTGTCTCTAGATTTGTACAGCATTAAGACAAATGGGAAATTTACTTACATTTAATATAATAAAAAAGAAAATCAATAGTTTATTAAACTTGAGCCTTTTGTTCTGAAGGCTGTTTTTAACAGTGGCTACGGTAACTTGGCTGTAAATAGCTGCAATGAACACACTATACAGAGCTATACACGCAGCAAACACAAAAACACCTCTCTCAAAATTCAACAAAACATCATCTTCCACTTGGATTGCCAAAAAACAAATAATATGGCTTAATTTTCATTCCAAAAACTTAATACCGTTTCAAATAAAGGCTGGGGGGAGGGGAGGCCTGCTCCTATAGTCATGGACAGAGGCCAAAATTCTGGTGCAGGACCATTCTGTTCGTTTTGGCACTCAGCTACCACCAAACAGTGACAAAGTATAATCTCCTATTCTATTTTGTGACACAAAATTTACACACTCACCCACACTTCCCCCACCCCTAAACAAGCAAAATACATCCCAACTTGGAGGAGGCGAGGTCTTCCAGTTATACATAAAAAAAGAATATTTATGCGCCCAAGCTAAGTAACTTAACCAGTTCACCTATTACATCTCACATACAGACTACACTTCCTGAGACAAGGTTTTTTCTTTTGTTTTGTCTTGTTTTTTTTAAATATAATCTCCATTTTGCGGTTCTTGGAATATAAATATTAAGCAGCATTCTCACAGGGGTTTCAAAACCAAAACCAAACTCACTGCCATTGAGTCTATTCAGACTCATAGTGATCCCTACTGGGTTTCTGAGGTGGTAAATCTTTATGGCAGTAGATGACCCCATCTTCCTTCCCCGGAGCGGCTGGTAGGTTTGAACTACCCACCATCTGGTTAGCAGTCAAATGCCTTAGGCACTACGCCACCAGAGCTCCTTCCCTGGGTATTAGGAATGTCACTTAACACTATTTTAATGTTATATTTTAAAGACTCAAGCAACTAGCAAAAAAAAAAAAAAATAGTAATTTAGGTTTTAAAGTATTTCAGAGTTTACACTACCTGGTAAGATAATTTTTACTCTATTCTTT